TCTCTACAGTAAATGTATAAAATAGTTACAATAAGTGCTGACTTCTGAGGTGTGTGTTAAAATGTTTCACATATTAAAATAATTATATAAGGTGTCCAATCAGTTTCTAAAGACGATAATAAGTTACACATATACTTTATTTTAAATTAAGCAATTAAATGAACATTAAGGACAAGAGTCTTCAACTTTCAATGACAGAAAGTTTCCTTAATTTAACAAATTAATTTCCTAATTGAAAATTTGCATGTTACTATCTTATTTTACAAATGTTCCTAATCTGCAATAAACTGTTGATTCAGGGTGAAACTAACTGAAGTAGTGGGCTCCAGGACCTGAACAAGAGATTCCTGACTTAAATAATTATTCTCTCTTAAACATTTCACAGTTTTACAGCTGCTATCCCACTATAATCCTTTCCCATAATGGCCACAGAACAAGGTTAACCACTATCAATGTTGTTAGTAAGATTTAAAGGTTCCCAATTTATTAAGTAAATAAACTAAATATGCAAATCAAACAATCTTCCACAAGCTTTGTTCTGCTCACTTGGTATGTCTATGTACCAAATGTAGTGTGCTGTTCAGATTTAATAAATGACTGCCAAACATTGAAGCATAGTGTCCAAATGTTGTGCCAGTAATTTTAGAATCTGAAGCTCTGAATCATTTTCTTTTGCTTTACAGTTGCACTAGTTGGATGTTTTGTGATCCAAAATGTAATACAGTAAATAAAGATGTTTTTAATCAAAAAGGCTTGTAACTTGGAATGAAATATGCATTGAGAAAGGTACAGATCACTCAACATACGGGCTTCCAAGCAGCGAAAAAGGCAGATCTTTGAACTGCTAGAACTGATCATGAGATTTTTTTCATGTATTTTTTAACTCATGTTAATAACCGTGAAAGAATCTGTTTTCGTTTTGTCTGTTTTTAAAATATACTTGAGCATTGTTCTCAATTTTAAAGCCTCACCCCCCCTTGCTTAGACATTTAGAATTAATATTTCAGTACTTTCATCTCATCATTGATTGTTATCTGACTTTTGCTTTCAACACAAATTCAAAGGAAATTGTTTAATGTGAATCTTTGTTTAAAATACTTTATTTAATTTAAACTACTTGTTGCTTTCTGGTATGTATAGAGAGGGTTGATGAACAAAAGAGCTCTTCATAGGAATGAATTTAAATTTAAACATTTGTTTAACATTGACTATGAGGGCAAAATACAAATTTTAGTAAGATAATGACCCAAATTGCCATGTGATAATATCTCCATGTGCCTATGACAGCAGCAGATCCACCTTGTAGCCTGATCTTGTCAAATCTCAGAACTTAAACAAGAGCCTATTCAGAGTTGGTTGGAAGTCCAAGGACATCCAGAATGCTGTTGCAAGTGGTATTGGTTGACCAGTAGGTGGTACTCTTCCCTCTGGACCAGAATGTCAAAAACACAATCCACAGTATGATCACTGATACATTGTTTTGCAGTAAGTGCTATTTTTTGGATGAGATGTTAAACCATGGTCTTGATTACCTCTGTTCTCGACTTTTACCTACACTGCTCGTGAGAGTAGGGTTGTTAATCCTGACTGAATCCATTCTGGTCTCTATTAGTCTGTCCTTTTAAAAACTAGCCTTAAGGTAAACTGGTGAAAGACTTCGTCAATTCTCCAGATCATGCTGCGCAGTAGGGTCAGGGTCACATAATGGCTGTTGTGTATGAAACAGGTGGAACTGGACTTTCTTCGGTGAAGAGTTGGTCTAATTCTTTACATAAAAAAAGGTTGTTGTTTTTTTTGCTGTTGGCTTAAATCAGCAACATGTGTAATTTATCGCTGTTAGTAGCTTATCCATAATTACACATGCCACCTTTCCGATTTTAATCTTGGTCATGTGGCACCCCCTTAAACTTCCATTGAAGGAATTTGGTTTCTCCCTTTAACTTAGTTCTTCGTACAATAAATTAATTGAGCTTTGAATCTGAACCCACTGTTAACTAATAATATTTTAAATCCTTTCACACTTAGAGAAATCAAAGAAATTCTAAAAAAGTTCACAATTATTAATCTTCTCTTAGGATGATACAGTGGGGTAATATTTGTGGAGTGGGCTAAAAGTTATGTAGAGAGATAGAAGATCAAATGCCATTTAAGCTCAGACCAAAAGAGGTAAAAAGCTGGTGAATGACAGTGGCAGATTTGCTGTATTTATTTGTTTCCCTCTTTTTTAGAAAAAAGAAGACAAACTATTTCATTGTGTCACTGGCATTTGCTGATCTCCTGGTGGCAGTGGTTGTCATGCCCTTTGCTGCAATAGAATTATCCAAGGGCTACTGGGAGTATGGAGAAACCTTCTGCCTGGTCCGAACATCGCTGGATGTCATGCTGACCACTGCATCCATACTGCACTTGTGTTGCATTGCTCTAGACAGGTGAGAAAAGGAATGGTTGAGACCTGGCCTGGTAGAGTAAACCAAGCAATTTACTCCTGGTTTCTTGAGGTAGATCGGTGACCGACACACACCCATAGATAGGTTGTTCTTAAAGTTTTCTTGTTTTTGTCAAGAGATATTTTATGGCAGTTTAAAGAACGGAAAAGAAGTGCCACTGTAGATAACGGACAAGAATCCACACCCACACATGCAAGCCACATACCAGTTTCATATTAGGGTGGCATACTAGGTCAGTTTCATAACCCCTAAAATGCAACTCAAAACCTTATATGCCTCCTCATTTTTGACTCATCATGAAAACATATTAAAGGCCTCATTAGCAGAGTGAAATAAACCAACACAGTTATATTTGCAGACATAATAAGTGTCATCTATTGTGTAAACTGCATTGGAGTCTTTATCATAGCTGTTCACAAGGAAAAGTCACCATTCGGTAAACCTCTGAAAGACGTCTTTATTTTTTTAGAAAGAGTACAGTTCTGTAATCAATCTTAAGAAAGTGAATTAGTGAGTGAATTGAATTGTGAAAAGCACTGTATCTGAAATGCCGATATTTTCAGAGCTAAATGTAAAGATACATTTTAGCAAAATACAAAACAATCTGACAGTGTAATCTTTTGCAGTGCTTTCAGGTATTTATTATTTTGGAGTTAATATTAATATTCTCCTGTGTTTCAGCACTTTGAAAAGGAGACTTGTCCATGATCTCAGTTTAGGATGCATGACTGTTTTATTAATATTTCATTGATGCAGCATCTCTAAATAAATTAAATATAATTTAAATCAGATTGTTAATTCTAACACTTAGGAGCTTTTGTCTGCTTTTAAAGGGGTAACAAATGACTGGACTCCAGGAAAACTAAATGCTACTGTATACTATATACAGTATTTTAGAATATTAATACTAAATATTATGTTAATAATATCACAATCCACATAAAGTAATCAAAGAAAATCTTTCCAACACACAGTTACTATGTGATATTTGTATTGATATGAGTAGTTTGCACAATCCAGTTCCTTATGATATGTCTATTAATATTTTCTTTTATTAAGCACTACCTGAAAACATTGCATTTGTCTGAACGTGCAAACAGGACCTTGTATTTCAAATCTACGTAATCTATTTCAAACTTACTGTATAATGCTAAAAATTAGTAGATTACTTATCTCTTTCAGTATAGTGAAATAGGAATTTCACTGCAAAGTCAACCATGACATGACATGGGAGTCAATGTTTATACAGTAAATTCGCCATATTCTGCTTCCTACACTAAGTTGGCCTGTATAGATGAGGGGTAGGGAAGAAGCATTTACTAAAAAAGACTAATCTTAAATCTCACATGAGATATATTGCAGTTGTGTCCCAGAAGGCTTTATGGTCAGACGAGACAAAAATGGAGCTTTTTGCTATAAATTAAAACTGCTAGATCTTGTACAAGACCAACACTGCACATCCTCCAAGCACAGTGGTAGCAACATGGTGGTGGGGATGCTGCTCATCAACAGGGACTAGGAAGCTGGTCGGGAAGAAAGAGAGAATGAAAGTTCCAAAGAACAACCAAATTCTAAAAGAAAACAAGAAACTAAAACTGGGTCCAAAATTCACTCTTCAGTAGGACAATGACCTGAAACACAAGTCCACAACCACACTGAAGTGGTCTATCAAGACAAGAGTGAATATTGTTGAGTTGCCCAGTCACAGTAACCCAAGCAAACAGAAAATATATAACGCGATTTGATGATTTCTGTCCGTCAACCATGAACTTGTCAGAACTGGAGCAGTTTTGGCAGGAAGAATGACTTGTTAGTGCTGGACAATGTCTCTTTTTTTAACTTCTGTGACTTCTGTGCTCTATATTTTGTACTACAGTGACATGAGTCCCATAATCAGCCTACTTGGTGAGAATTTGATTGCAAAGTATTTGTCTCTTTGCTGATGTTAAGCCTTAGAGTAGGGATATCCAACAGTTTTCTGAAGGTCTCTGTGCCTTTATGATTTTGTTTTCTACCTGAGCTTTTGTTTGCTGTGTGAGAAAATGAAGTAACTGAATCCCTTGCAAGTAGTCATCAAAATGTTTCCTGAAGTTTTTTAAATTCAGATTCATCATCTACAAAACACCATATTTAAATCATATATATAATTCTAAATGAGTAAATTAAGACAAATAATTGAGGGGTTAAGGTACAACAATAAAACAGAACAAAACAGAAATAAAACAGGTGTTACAACAATAACACCACTTACAGTGGTGTGAAAAAGTGTTTGCCCCCTTCCTGATTGTTTATTTTGTTGCATGTTTGTCACACTGAAATGTTTCAGATCATCAAACAAATTGAAATATTAGACAAACATAACACAAGTAAACACAAAATGCATTTTTAAATGAAGGTTTTTATTATTAAGGGGAAAAAAATCCAAACCTACATGGCCCTGTGTGAAAAAGTGATTGCCCCCCCTGTTAAAACATAAATCAACTGTGGTTTATCACATCTTTAAAAAGCTGAGTTCAATTTCTCTAGCCACACCCAGGCCTGATTACTGCCACACCTGTTCTCAATCAAGAAATCACTTAAATAGGACCTCCCTGACAAAGTGAAGTAGACCAAAAGATCCTCAAAAGCTAGACATCATGCTGTGATCCAAAGAAATTCAGGAACAAATGAGAAACAGAGTAATTTAGATTTATCAGTCTGGAAAAGGTTATAAAGCCATTTCTAAAGCTTTGGAACTCCAGCGAACCACAGTTAGAGCCATTATCCACAAATGGCGAAAACATGGAACAGTGGTGGACCTTCCCAGGAATGGCCGGCCAACCAAAATTACCCCAAGAGCGCAGCGATGACTCATCCAAGAGGTCACAAAAAACCCCACAACAACATCCAAAGAACTGCAGGCTTCACTTGCCTCAGTTAAGGTCAGTGTTCATGACTCCACCATAAGAAAAATGGGCAAAAATGGCCTGCATGGCAGAGTTCCAAGACGAAAACCACTGCTGAGCAACATAAAGGCTTGTCTCAGTTTTGCCATAAAACATCTTGATGATCCCCAAGACTTTTGGGAAAATACTCTGTGGACTGACGAGACAAAAGTTGAACTTTTTGGAAGGTGTATGTCCCATTACATCTGGCGTAAAAGTAACACAGCATTTCAGAAAAGGAACATCATACCAACAGTAAAATATGGTGGTGGTAGTGTGATGGTCTGGGGCTGTTTTGCTGCTTCAGGACCTGGAAAACTTGCTGTGGTAAATGGAACCATGAATTCTGCTGTCTACCGAAAAATCCTGAAGGAGAATGTCTGGCCATCTGTTCGTGACCTCAAGCTGAAGCGCACTTGGGTTCTACAGCAGGACAATGATCCAAAACACACCAGCAAGTCCACCTCTGAATGGCTTAAGAAAAACAAAATGAAGACTTTGGAGTGGCCTAGTCAAAGTCCTGACCTGAATCCGATTGAGAGGTTGTGGCATGACCTTAAAAAAGCGGTTAAGGCTCGAAACCCCTCCATTGTGGCTGAATTACAACAATTCTGCAAAGATGAGTGGGCCAAAACTCCTCCACAGTGCTGTAAAAGACTCATTGCCAGTTATCGGAAACGCTTGATTGCAGTTGTTGCTGCTAAGGGTGGCCCAACCAGTTATTAGGTTAAGGGGGCAATCACTTTTTCACACAGGGCCATGTAGGTTTGGATTTTTTTCCCTTAATTATAAAAACTTTCATTTAAAAACTGCATTTTGTGTTTACTTGTGTTATCTTTGTCTAATAGTTCAATTTGTTTGATGTAAGAAATCAGGAAGGGGGCAAACACTTTTTCACACCACTGTACATTTTAACCTAGTTCTGAAGTCTGAGATGCATGCTTTACAGGACCAAGTCTGTGGGACCTTCCACAGACTTTTCTCATTATGTTCCACTGAGGAAATTAATTTTTGTTCTATGAAGACATTTAAAAATGGTCTCTTACCATAATTGAGTCATTATCTGGTGAGGCTAGCTATAAAAACACATGATCACAGGGCATAGGTGCTTATTGTTGCAATGTTGCAAACCCTTGCAATGAAGCATACTTTACCAGGGGTGTTAAGTATCACTCAGGGACGTTTGATATGATACTTCATATATGACCAAGGTGGAAATTGTTTCACAGTGATTGTTAATGCCATAAAACGAATATCGGATATATGTGTTAGGTCAGTCGCATTTAAAGTGATACATTTTGACTTTTCATCAATGATTATGAAGATGGCTGCAGATTTAGTATTCAATTGCTACACCAGAATCTGGAATTCAGTTAGGGCTGGTTGTTCTTTAGAAGATAGCCTATTGATTGTGAATAAACATTGTACTCAAATAATTTTAAAAAACTGAATATACTGTATGTACCAGGAAATGTTCTTAAACTGGCATTCAATTTTTTCTTGTCTTTTAGATACTATGCTATTTGCTGTCAGCCATTGGTGTACAGGAATAAGATGACCCCTCTGCGAGTAGCTCTTATGCTGGGAGGCTGCTGGGTTATTTCTTTCTTTATCTCCTTCCTCCCAATCATGCAGAGCTGGAATGCTATTGGAATTGAGAAAATTGTAAGTAAAAAGAGATTCTGTGCAACAGTGCAACATATCATTCAGTCTGCAAGCATATGATTACTCAACTGTGCCCGTCAGTCTGAAGGTATTACTCCTTAGCAAAAAAACATGCATTGCCTAGCAGCCTAATTTTGAAATATGAGTATCAGTACAATAATAAGTATAAAAATGTATTTATGAAGCTGTTGACATTAATTCCATCTTGGTAGTTTGGTACTTCAGTGAATCTAAAACATCATGCAATCTTTTTTGAAGAAACCCAGTTGCGCTCTGTGAAATCCTTTTTAGTTTCCAATTGTGACCAAGTGTGAACAAGTCAACTGAGTTGCCCCTATATTGACCCCTTAATTTTATATACTTATGGGTATATTTTAGTATTTTGCATACTATCACATCTCTTACCAACCCCAAAAATAAATAATGTTCAGTAAACTTAATACATTGTGCTGCACTGTGTGTGTAAAGGACATGAGGCCTAATTTTCACAAAGATCACAAATAAAGACAGCATTTCTCACATAGCAGACAGTAGGCAATATAGAACTGTAATGTGGAGAATAGCTCATTTAATACAGAGTGGCCATTCTCAAAGACTTCCCATGCCAACAGAAGTGTGATACTGAGATTTTGGGAGCATGAAGAGAGTGAAGATAACAATTTGCAGTTTAGAGGTAATCCACAGTCTGTGACTTATTATTGCAAAGCCTGCAAGCTGCCTCTGCAAATGTGTGTCATGACCTCATTGTAGGCACAGTGAGCACTCAGTGGTCAACCACACAACTGTGGACTCTAATCTAAGTGTCATTGTAAAGCATCTTTAAAAGCAGGAAACACATGCTTTTAAAACTGCAAATGGCAGATGTTTTACTGAACAGCTTTCTGAACCTGTCCTTTAAACTGAGCTACAGCACAACTGAATCGCTCACCTTGAGACCAAAGGCCACCCTCATCACAAATATCTGTTAGTCCATTTGTTTCAATGTGGAAAGATTTTCTTTAAGAAGATCATGATTTTGGAAAATAGGAGAATAGGAGAATGGACATGTCATGTGTTCTGTGATTTAATTAAAGTTCTTAATGGATGCTAAATCATTGTGAGTGATTATTAAAATTATTTACAATACTATAATACATTTGGTGTCAAAATCTAAACTACAATATCTGAGAGGTAATCCTAAATTTAATCTTGATCTCTGTATGGAGAGACCTATATTTCTTTGATTGGCACAAACTACTTGACCAAACATAAAATACAAAACAGAGGAGTAGAAATAATGTAAGGAGAGCTGAGTAAGATGGTGGCAGCGTGGTGGCATAAAAGGCAGGGAACGCAGTGAAGGTTTCAAAGCCTGTAGATGACATGCAAACACAGTCCAAAAAACAAATGAGAAACCAAGAGGCGTATGTATCAAAGGGCAAGTCCAGAAGACAAAGTCATGAAAGCAAGCAGGGTCTAAAGCCGAGTAAACACAGAGATTAAACAAGCCAAAGGGGGATCAGGGAAAGAAAGAGAGAACAGCAGAGGTCAGGAATCCAAACAAGGCAACCCTAGGGAAACAAGAACAAGGGCTCAAGGGGCTCTGAGACGAAACTGTAGAGCAAAGCTGTGTCAGTCCAATTCTTAAATACTATATTCTGCACCATCTAATGCGGGTATGGATGTAAGTTGCTGGCAGGTGATTCAGATTTCCTTTTGGCATGCACTTCTACTGTACCAGCACTGAGTGACAGGTGGGTGGCAGGTGTTGAGTTCACCGTTTGATAATTTTACAAAACCTTAAACTTAGCAAAGACCAGTACCTTATTTGCTTTGCAGATACATGTACAATGTCATTTTCTGAAGAAGACAAATTTTTGGTTGTAGTGCAAAATAAATCTGGAAGCAGGACAGCTGGAAAGAAAAGAAGCATGGTCATTTTTAGATCTGCATTCCTTCATTTATCTCACCAGTGCCAAATGATATCCAAATCACACAAATGAAAATTCTTTCCTTCCAAGAAGCCTCTCTCAAATTTTAATCATAAGATGTTATCTTTGTATTATATTGGATTTTCTTTATTTTCTTTCTTCAGTGAGATACGTTTTTTTTTTGTATGAGCAATGTTGTCTTAACCCAATGGCTTTATGGTGTTCTTCTCATGTTTCTATAACATGAGGGAAAATTAAACATAAATCAGGGGGGAGGGATTTATATATATATATAATATTAAATCCAAGTCCTTCTTTATAAACAAAGACTGTTGGACATCCTCTTTTTTTGAGCATTTATTGTTTGTCAGCTGAAGTATCAGATTTCTAGGTCAATCTTATTAAATTCGTGCAAGTAGTGCCAAGCCTTTTGCTTGGAGTTTTTTCAAATGAAGAGAAAAGCAAATAATATTTCATTGTTTAGAATATGTACAGAGTTCAAATTAAAATGTTTGCCAAATAATTAAAGTTAAACAAAGGATGTTTAAGTGGGAATGTCAAGAAATAATTGTTTATTTGGAGTGGTCATTAAATTGTGTTTTATTAGATCCTAAAAACATACTGCAGAATATTAACTAAGGATGACTCAGTATCTTACTGATTGATAATCTCTCTACAATATAATGGATGTTCTATATCAAACAGAATGAGAGAAGCCAATGTCTCTTTGAAACAACATATTAACCAATTGTGCAGCATTTGCTGGGATTTTTTTTTTGAAATATGCTTGATCGTTATATTTTTCCCAATGTTAAAAAGAAATGGTGCCAAATAAAGGTCTTCAAGCAGAACAAATTAAACTTTTGTAATTTGAGACCACCCTAATTGCTGGAAATAGTGCAAATCCAGAAAACCGATTGCTTTCAGGCAATTAGGAAAAAAAGTAATTAAGAATTCAATCCCTAAGGAGAAGTTTATACTGTATATAACCTTATGACTTGGGTTGTCATGACATGATAGCACAGAACATACTGGGAAATATTTAAGAAATTGACGTTTAGTGTATCACAAATAACTAATTAGCTATGATCTTAAATCTGATTCATCTGAAGATTTCTCCTTAAGCCTTTTGTTTAAATGAAATGAAAGAAAAACATTATTTTATTAGAACTGCTGTAACATGTTTTGAAATCGTAAAGTTTAGAATAACTTTTTCACCATTGACTCTTTAATTTGGTTCTTGGAATGAGACAGAAAGCCTGCTGGTGAGTAATGGAAAGATTAATTTGCATTACATTCAAAACAGTAAAGTTTGTTTATTGCAAATTTTAATTTTATTTTCTGTCTTTCTTTCTGTCTCCCACCATATGTTAAACATTGATTTGTCAATGAATTTGAAAAGCCAGCAAATGTAACATTCTTTTAACTAAAGTCAGATTCCCTACTCTTATGTGGCCTGTTTCCTAGAACTAGTGCACATCCAGTATAATTGTTGCTCTTGGGCTTTAATTATACAATACAATATTAATTAAACAATGTTGTAAAGATTAGTACATATAATACTGTATTGGTTTTTAAAATATAACATTGGATAACGTTAACAGTACTTCCTGGCAGTTGATAAAGTCATGAGTGAGTAAAGTCATAAGTGAAAACTACTGAGGTCTGTGCCTAAAACTAAAAATGCACAGTCCTTTGATTTGCAGAGCAGTGGTATGTTAACACAAAGGTGCACATTTGTGTTGATTTTATAACTGTGAGTGAAAGTTACAGGGATCCCCAAAATCCAGATGTTTCATTTCTGATGACAACACTGTTGGAATAGTTACACGGGTAATTACAATATCAAAAGCCCTAACCCAACCACAAACCTTCTTTCAAACCCTAAACAGTTGCTAAGAAAACTTTAAGGGCACTTAATTGGATATTAGAAAGTGGGTATTAGAAATGTGTTACTCAGTGTTCATATTAATATTACGCAATGTTTTACACTCATGCTCAAAACCTGAGATGTGACAAGACAGTAAAGTATATACTCTCACAGTATAAGCAGATTTACACTATGTTACACTCATTAGACACTATTCCTTTCTGTTATCTCAAATAAGTTGTTTTGGTTATGCCTTTTTTACTGAAATGCAGTCAGTTTATTCAGTAATTCATTTAATCTTGGCTCTTTGTGTTTTTAGACGTGTATATTTTCTTTTTTTATTAAGCACTATAATAAGGAATAGACATGGCTTGTTGCTTTATATTATCAAAAGACAATATCAGTACCAGGTAAAATTTCAATTACAACAAAATGAGCCAACAAATATAAAGGGGTAGCATATTTAATACTTACTGTGTGTATTTGGCAGTAAATTGCCTGGCAGAGGAAATGCTGTAACAGCCCCCCTCACTTATGAGGAATAAACCAGGGAGGCAGTTATAAGGGTGCATTTGGGGTGGAAGGAAGGATGTAGAAAAGATTTTCACAGCAAACAAGAGTTGTGGACAGTAGGCGAGTGTTATATGTAGGAGAGTGGAAGTGTGAGATACAATTTTGACCTCTTTCTTGAGTCTACCTGCTTGTCATGTTAATGGAATCCTACAATATAATGACATACAATGAATAGCACAGTTCGTCAATGTTAAAGAAAAAGCTGTAGCTATTCTAAATCTACATATTTTGGTTTGTTTTCATACAGTTGGCAAACATACAATTTCTGTGGTAATGAGTAGCCTATGAACACAGCACACTTAAAACAGCCACTTAAATTTGAACTGTGTTCTTTATAATACCTAAAACACATGAATCTTTTCTCCATGCATATTTTAAATAATCACCATTTGCTTGACAGACACTTCAAAATACTAAAGCTTTTTCCCCTTGAGTTTTAAGCAGTATATGTCCAATGCTGAAAAGCTGTTTGGGCAAGAAAGTACAGGCATTCAGAATGACTGTGTTCTTTTTAATCCTATTTAGACACTCAACAAAATATAACATTTTTTTCTTTTAGGTTTCGTTCTCAATTGCTTCATTAAAATAAAGTAATTTAATAACTTCTGTAAACAACTTGTGTATGTATTTCATATTTTTGTATGGGTTTAAAGTCAAAATAATTGTACTATATTTCAGAATATTTCAAGTGATATATTTTCTAGTGATATGAAGTACAGAGAGCCATGGTAGTTGTATTCCAAAGAAATATTTTAATTTATTTTCTATGACTTGCTTTTAGACAAAATGTAAACTGCACTTAGCTGAATTTTAAAAGAATAATATTTGGTAAACTATTAAGAAGACAGAACATTTTTTAACTAGATGATGCAAATTAAGTAAATGACCTTCTGAGAAACAAAAACTTAAATGTCATAAAAAGTTAATAATTGGACATTTTATATATTAGTTCAGCATGAACATTTGTGACTTTTATTTTATTAGTCAAAGTACGGTAGTTTTCTAACAATAGTACTGGTAAAGGGAATACGAGTATTTCAAAATAGCACTTTTCCAAGAATATTATGTGTCATTTAACTTTATATTTAATATGAATATGACATCCTTTCCATATTCCAAAATAAAGTGTGCACAAATCAAGTGTGTAGGCAGAAAGTCTATTGGATTCATTATGATAATACTGTATGTTGCACTCTGGCCAATCAAAATACTTCCTAAAGATCTAAAGTACAATTGTGAAGATTATCACAGTGCTCCTGAAGCTTTAGGTCTGCTTATCAAGCTCTTAAATCCTTTGAAAAGAAGTGTTTATCACATTGGAAAATAATCCAGCTGCACTAAACAAAGATGAGAAAACTTCACTTCCCACCTGCTAAAAAATCCTGCTTGATTCCTGTAACAACAAATCTCACAGAAAACATTGAAACATCCTCCAGTTTGTTTAGGCCCAACTCCTTCCAGATGCAAGGAGGTATTCTGCAGAACCACTTTAGGAATCCTCCATTTATTCTGTAAAAAGATCCCTGCAAGATACATTTCTTGGCAATCTTTGTGATTTGTGATTTTTTGTGGGCCTAAATGATTGTCAGGTATCAAATAAAAAAAAATATTATTACCAATCATACAAATTTAGTATACTATAGTAACATAATTTTAATATATTCAACCAAAAGGGGAGTGAACACATTTGAAATACAGTACAATCAATGTGTAACACTGGCTTGTCAAAAACGTTTTTCAATTCAGTTTTGTATCTTGAGAACAAAACCAAATAAGATTTTTGGATTTTAGGCATGTACTGTAGTACTTGTTTTTTGATGAATTAAATACAGTATGTAGCAGAACAGTACCACTACCATACTGTATATGGGCATTTTCTTAAAAACATATGCTGTGAGGTTTGGGTTAAAGAAAAGATTAGAGATTAGAATATGTTAAAGTGCCTAAATGAAACATTTCTCTGCATTCCTTTGGTTTCCAGATAGAAGAAAGAAAGTTCAACAACTCCACAAATGAGACCTACTGTGTCTTCTTGGTGAATAGACCTTACGCTATCATCTGCTCTGCTGTGGCCTTCTACATTCCCTTGGTCCTGATGGTGCTGGCCTACCAGCGGATATACATCACCGCCATGGAACACGTGCGCCAGATCGGGACCCTGCAGAGAGCCGGCTCCGCGCCTGAAGCGTACGACGGCTCCGACCACCAGGGCTCCAGCAGGATGAAGATCGAGACCAAAGCGGCAAAGACTCTGGCAGTCATCATGGGCTGCTTCTGCCTGTGCTGGGCCCCTTTCTTCATCACCAACATCATCGACCCCTTCATTGACTATAGCGTGCCTTGGGAGCTGTGGACTGCCTGGCTGTGGCTGGGCTATGTGAACTCAGGCCTGAACCCTTTCCTGTACGCCTTCCTCAACCGAGCTTTCCGACGTGCCTTTCTCATGATACTGTGCTGCGGCAACGAGCGCTACGTGCGTCCGGGAAGTTTTGGCCCCTCACGGCATTACACCACATCGGTCAATGGGACATCCATCGCACTGAGGTATTTCTTTAAATGTTTTTAAACAATTTAGAACAGTTGCTGAAAGTAATGGGGCCAGTATCCTTGTCTCTATAAAGGCCTTTGGCATTTTAGTTTTGAAAGACAAATCGCATATTTACAGAGGAGTCAGCATAACATTAAAAAAAAGGAAAATTAGTAATTCTAAGATAAGATTAAATATACAAAAAATAGTGCTGTACGTACAGCAGTAAATAGAATAATGTTTTATTAAGATAATTAATATTAAATAATTTGATTACTTATATTAATACAATAATATTAGTATTTTTCAATATTTGTTTAGAAAAGGATCATATTGTTTCTGAACACATTTGAAGGCCATTGCTGATTAAACTAAGATTTTTATAGCAACTAATAATTGATCTTAGATTTGAAACTTGTGCATTAGTCCGTTGCTAATGTGTGTATTTTCTTCACTATTCAATTATTTTAGAGTATTTTGTTGCAGGGAAAACTAATGATTTATATGTGTGCTGAAGCTGATTATTAAGAGCTGAAGGTTTGAGATTTTATTGATTTGAGTTTTGCCCTAAGAAATCTTATTGCTGTTCTCTCTTTGTGTATTCAAATTTTCATTTCCATTTTTTTGCTTCAGTTCCCTGAGTAACTTTTTCTTTAGATAATGCTTTGGAATCAGGTCTAGAGCCCTTATGAAACTGATAGATTTTAACAGTAGTCCTAAAATTAATTATAGGAGAAAATTGTTCTGCCTAGTTTGAGAGCTGAGTTTCCATGACCAAGACACCAGTTAGCTACAATTCCACAGCTGTGGATTGGGTCCACATTACACTGAACATTGGACTGGATTCCTTATGGATATGGTGTACTTGCACGTGTTACTGTGAAACTTTAGCCTTTACTGTGAAACTTTAGTTTTTTTCATTAAGATCAATTAAATTATATGTGAAAAAGACCATACATTGTTAAAGAGTATTTGTTTTAAGATACATTAGGCAACTATAGTTGCAATATCGGTCTGCTCCAAGATGCCAAGTTGTAAACCTATAAGGAAACACTCCTTATACAGATGATCAGATAAAAGTTCCAGCAAAGTTCCTGGTTGTTGCAGCCCACCAATTCTACACAAAACACATCTAACACCAAACTCAGCTGGAGCTCTAACTACACTGAAAACAGTACCCTGTCTGGTTTCTTCTGGACACACTACCTTGTTTGTTTGACATAAATGTAAGAAAGAACTATATTAGTCTTAAAGAGAAGACTCTTTAAAGACTTAGAGGAAGTACTGACTGACCATCTGTCTAAATGATTGATCGATTGCTCAATTGCTCATTGATATGTTGACAAGTGAAGGAATACAATTAACCACTATGTACATTTTTAAATTTTCCAAACAAGTAACAAACATTTACAGTAGTTACTTATTTACAACAGGTGAACTATTTAAAATTGTCATTTCAGGCCTGCAGTCCCTTCCCACACAGGAAATCTATTAATAATTACTATGTTTATTTCCATATGTAGGGATTTTGAACTGCTATTTTTTATCAATCAAATTTACTGTCATCATGAAACACATACAATTTGAAGGTAGATCAATAGAAATTATAGAAAGACTAATACATCAAGAGTCTATTTGTAATAATTATGAATTTTAAAGTATGGTAAGTTGTCTTTATTTTGCTTTTAAAGAAGGAAGAAATCTTGAGAATTTAAGGCCATGTTATAACACCAAAGTAGTATATATGCTGATATCATTAGTAGGCACTGTAGCACTTAACAGTTCAAGACAGAAACGTGATGCACTTTAATATTTAGTTATTTCAGCCACTCAACTCAACATTTATCAATGAATTCATAGCTGTCTATCTGTCATTGTAATGATATTTCCCTTTGGCTGTTATTAGTGAAGATGGATAAGAACAGTAAACATTTAATTTTTAACACCTAATTGGACCCGTCACTCACACAGGAGAGTTAGAACATCTGGTGTTATTTTTCCTCAGTTCTTCACAATTTGTTTTCAAGATTTGGCATTTGGCACTAAAGAAATTATTGCCAGAATTACAGCATGAAAACAGAAGACAATTTCCCCTTTTAAAATTAACTGAAACAAATGAACAAGTAAGGTTTTCCTTTTGTAAGTAAATACAATTAGAATCTTTATCAGCATGTCATGTCTAAAAATATGAATGACAAGTACTATCTGAGCATTTGTCTGTTTTGTTAATTTATCTTGTCCTCCTGTATTCAATTCTCAGAACTGACTCTTGCAAGATTTTAAAGCAGATCTGCAAGGTAGTATCTACTTTACATTAAAATAACCATTGGTATATTTATTAAACATTTTGAATACAAATATCATTGCAATAACTCATAATGTCATCTCTTCAAACTGTTTGAAATTATTTATGAACAGCAAAATTGGCTGTGACAGTAGGGTCATTACACTGTGTAGGAAATAAAATAGTTCAGAAACCTCATTGCCTTCTTAGGAAAATTGTTCCCACTGGTGGAATTTTATGAGACTCATGTTCTTTGATATTGTTCTTTAGGGGACCTATAAACTATGTTCCATAAGGAAATTAATCTTCTGTTCTCCTAACTGAACATATCTTTCCCTTCACTGTGAATTTTCAGCCTTTCCATCTGTTTAATTAGCAAGTATCTGTGCTGTTGCTAGAGCTGTGAAAAAAATCCGACTCTGAGTGCTACACCCCCAGCTCTCCTGCTGCCTGTCATGATTATAATATTATTATCATTCCAAACACTACTAAATGGCTTTTTAACATACTTAATTATCTGTTAATTATTCCATTTAGGCTTTGCTGTCTCCTCATTGTCACCCACGTTTTTTCTAGTCCTGAGTGTACAGTATTTTACCGTAGTTATAAGACCAAAAAGGCAGATTCATCATCTGCCTTTGCAACACTTTTTGAACACTGATGTCCATTCTTGTGGCATTTTTCAATGATGGAAAAAATGGAATCCCTTTAACCCTATTTATTTGGTCCTTTATTTTGCTGTATTTCAAAACTAAAGAGTGCAATCACTGATGAATGCATGCCTGGATAAAACAGGGTAAACACATTTGCACATTGGAATTTTATAAGTGTGTTGAAATTATTATTATTATGTACAGTATGTTAATTATGTATTACATACATTATTGAAGATCTGTTTGGAAAACCTTGGGCTTTTAGATCATGTATATTATATTCATGGAACTGAATAGGAGGTTGATGGATATGCCTAGATTTTATCCTACAATTGTCAATAACTTGTGCATGAAATTGAAATTAAGCAGGAAAGACCCCTTACTTGTTGGATTAGTTGCTGCAGCATTATAATGACCTAATAATTTAGGTTCTGAGTTCTGGATGATGGAATTTCACCCACGCCTCAGAAAACCTTCTCACTTACTGTACCTTCTTCAGTGGTACTGTACTCTATGTCTCTACAGTAAGAGCCCTAATGTGCAACTAGCACGGGATTCCCATGCATCAAGGCTTTGTGTCAGTGTCGGCACTGCACGATTCTACTACCTTTCCCATGGAACCATACTGTAGATCACTATAGGTAAGAATCCAGAAGGACCAGGAGAGGGAATGTGGGATAGAGAAATTAAACAATGTAACTGACTAAGCGCATTCATTTCTATTAGAGAGACTTGAATATGATCTTCTCCATCTGCTCAACAGGGGTCTGTCTATAATCACTTGTGTCGTGGAGTTGTGTCTGATTTGTATTATTAATAGCTTTTTGGTGAAGGAGAATTAAACTCGCGACATATTAATAAATATACCATATATTAGTACGTGCTTTCTAAAATGTTTCCAGTAAGTTTCAAATCCTCATGTATTTACAGTTCATAGTTAATTTCAAACACTGAGTATTGGCGTTACACATCTAGGAAATGCGTCATGTTATTTTTTCCAAATGTTTCTGATTAAAGTGAGATAGAACTCCTCTCTTAATATTGAAAACACTCAAGTACAGACAAACTTGGTTACATTTTATTTTAATACAAACTACCCAGGGTTTCCTTATGAACATAATTTTCTTGGATTATCACAGACTTAATTCACAACCATAATTATTACTCGGTGATCATAGGGTGCCCAGTTGCTTATACTGTCCCCCGCAAATAATGTACCAGTAATTGATTTAGTCCAATTATGTTTGCACTACCAGCTGGAAAAGCAAAGAGATTTTGTTCTCTACAGCCCCAGCTCTTCTGTGTTTAATTAATAATGACCTTTTATATCTTTGCTATCTTCTGGTATGGAACTAAGTAGAGATTGAAATGTCTTTAGCTTCAGAGACTTAAAATCAATTCCAAATGCAGAAAAGGTACATTGGAGTTCTGTTCCTGACAATAAATTGCAGAACCTGGAATTTGTTTTACTGCTTCATTTTGTTTTAGCTCTTTTCTAGGAGGAGGTAGCCTTGATTGCCACAGCCCATACCACTACCGTTTTCTCGTTTCTTAATCACACAACAACCTCCTCATTCATTTTTGTTGGATACTAGAAAAAAGACAAAAAAAGCTGTGAAAGAAAAGGCCGTATGCCAAGTTCTTACTGTCTCTGAGCTTGTAGCTGCATTCCAATTAATTGCTATCACTACAATCTTTTTTTAAGCATGCATGGCTGTCTCCAAGCCGCTACAGTTTCCAAGGATGGATTCTCATGTATGACGAGTGGCTCTATAGAACAAGTACTTTATATGGTGAGGTTGTTCCAAACTTTATGTTTGAGTAATGATAAGGCTGGATATTTAGACACTCGCTTCTTTCATTTTTTAAAAGAACAGTAGCCATGACTTTATCATCTGTTATAATGTTTTTGTTTACCCATTCTCATTGGTAACATCTGTCCCTGAAATGCATCTAATTGTATCCAAGCATTTGTTTTCAATAAGAGTTGACACACAAATTCAGTCAATGCAAAGGCTGTCTACAAAGACCTGTATTCTGCACCTTTATTAATATCCTCACCCACAACAGAATTCGACAT